TCAGTTATTGCTATAAAGGGTATAAAAAACGTTGTATACTAGTTATACAATAATTTAATAAAGAATAAGGTTTATAGTCACTATACAACTGTGCTAGCAATACGCGTTTTATATCCAATATTCACCTGTTTAACTGTCACATATAGTATACAATGGTCTTATAATGGTATATAGAATTCTAATAAAGAATAAAACGCATTTCTTTCAGTGAGAATTTGACTGCAGCATCATCTGGCCATAACAAAGCAATTAACAGAATATAAATATAAACCAGTACCAAAATGCTCCCGTATAAAAACACGGGATGTTAAATATACAGGGTGTCTGGAAAGGTAATGTTAAAAATGAAAGGGGGGGGGGTCAAGATAGATGTAGTCCTTCATATATAATTTTTCTCTTATCGGGCTTCGTTGTGGAGTTATTCGCCTTCAAAGAAATAAGTTTGAAAAACAAATTCCAATTATAACTTCTAAGTCGTTACCATGACAACAATAAAATTTAGGCAATTAAAGTAACTCATGGTAATGTCCATTTCCAAGTTTAAACTGATTTTCAATATGCCTGGATTATACAGGAGCAGACGAAATTATACATTTAAATGTATACAGCTTTGACAGCGTTGCCAAATTTGGCATTTTTCTTTTATCGTTCGATTCCTCTCTCACATTGCTTAATAAAAGGTATATCAATCGATACCTTGTACCATTTTTGAGAAAATCGAATTTAACGACATACAACATACATGTATTGTATCAAAAATGCGATATTAACATTTTTGTAAAAATTTTGATTTCTTTGGAAATTGAGATCACTGTCAACATGTTTGTATAATTAGCAGTTATATATTTGTCACAAATCATTTTGACATCATTTGTTGATTCAATATCATGGAGGATTTTAGCTATGAAGAATTTGCAGCTTCTGAAGCTGTTCGGATTTACGCTAATCGCTTTCCAAATAAAATTTGCATATTTGATGTGACGAAAATTCTCATGCTATTATTCAGACAAAACACCAACAAAAATTTATCATTAATGTATGGGTGACAATAATTGGAAACTAGTTAGTGGGACCACATATTATCATTGATGAACCTTTAAATGGGGATAAATACCTATATTTACTGCAAGAACACCTTAACCCGTTATTGGAAGACGTCCCTTTAAATATTTGAAAAACATGTGGCTTATGCCTGATGGCGCACCACCTCATTTTAGCAGGGCAGTAAGAGCTTATTTAAATACTACATTTCCCGATCGATGGATTGGTCGAAGTAGTCCTTTTCCGTGTCCGCCTTGGTCTCCCAATCTTAATCCGATCTCGATTTTTTTCTTTGGGGCCATCTTAAATGTCTTGTTTATCAATCTCCTATAAATAGTAGGGAAGGATTATTATTAAATGTCATAATTACATACGCCGACATCATTAAAAATGATCACCACATGTTATTTCGAGTAGAGAAGAGGTGATTGAGCAATTTCAGAAAATGCATTGAAGTTCAAGGAGCACATATTGAACATCTTACTTAACAGTTCTCTTTTTTTTTAAATTCTATTCTATTATTTCTTTTCTAGAAACCAATGTTTTTACAAAGATGTTTTTATCAAATTTTTGATGTACAGGCTGGTCCATTTTCGATGGGAATTCAGGGTATTGCAGAAACTACTAAAGATATGATAAATCTGACACGACGTTCTCGAGCTCGATTTTAATGGCAAACTGTCAAAGGTATATTTTTTTTAAATGGAAATCGTAGCTGACCATGGCCTAAAAAAAATAGAGATTTCTTTTTTCCTTTTTAGCAATATATCACATACTATAGTTATTTTTACAAACACAGGAGAAACGGGGTGTTTTATATTATAAATTATACCTATATGTTTTTCCTTTTTGGCTGGTTATGAAAATACATATAAAACTATAATTCCTACTTTTACAAAACTCATATCTGTTGTAAAAATATGACGTTTATTTTAAATGCACAACTTATACTCGTATGATAATATAATATTAAGGAAATTTTAGGAGATAGGTGGATAGGAACAAACGGACCGCTTAGATGGCCATCTAGGTTCCGTGATTTGAGTCCGTTGGACTTTTTCCTTTGGGGTTTTCTAAAAGACATTATATTTAAAATTCCTTTTTACTCTATCGAGGAATGTTGAAGTCTTTTAAAAAGTCTTTTAATAATATTTCTAATATACATTTAATTAATGCTACACGAAGCGTTGCCAGAAGATGCGCGAAATGTGTAACAGTTGAAGGACGGCAATTTGAACATTTAGATCATGATGTAGGTACTTACCATTGTTTAATTTACGTTTAACTATTGTAACTTGAGTGAAAGTGGAATAAAAATTTGAAAACTCTGTCTTGTCTTATCTGTAATATATATATTTTAAATAAACTTCATATTTTTACAACAGATATGAGTTTTGTAAAAGTAAGAATTATAGTTTTGTATGTATTTTCATAGCCAGCCATAAATAAAGTGTAAAAAGGATCGAATTTATATATAAAACTCCCCGTATCTTCAGTGTTCGTAAAAATAACTATAGCAAGTGGTATATTGCTGAAAAGCAAACAAAATCTCCATTTTTTTAGGTCATGGTCACCTACGATTTCCATTTAAAAAAATATACTTTTGGGTCATAACTCTGGAGTCTTAAAATCTACTAAAAATCTAATACCGGCATTCAATTCTACGCCAAAGAATTAGTCTTGAGCAGTTTTTTCTTTAACTCTACCTTATTTAACAGGCGAGATACAGCCATATTCAAAAGTGTCACAATAACGAGAAACGCCCTGTAACTCAGAAACAAATGAAGATAGCGAATTTCTGATTTGATAATTGAGTTTGCCATAAAAATCGAGCTCGAGAATATGGTGTCAGATTTATCATATCTTTAATAGTTTCTGAAGTACCCTGAAATTCCACCGAAAATGGACCAGCCTGTACAATAAATGTATTTTGTTAATATTAATAGAATTCGATTTTCTCAAAAACTGTAGAAGATTTCGACTGGTGCACGGTATACCTTTTTTAACAAAGTGAGAGAGGAATCGAACTACGAAAGAAAAAAATCAATCAAAATCAAATTTGGCAACACTGTCAAAGATATATAAATTTAAATGGATAATTCTGTTTGATCCTGTATAATCCAGGTAAATTGAATATCATTTTAATCTTGTAAATTAGCATTACCATGAGTTACTTTAATTACCCAAATTTCATTGTTGTCATGGTAACGACATAGAAGTTAAAATTGGAATTTGTTTTTTAAACATCTTTCTTTGAAGGCGAATAACTCCACAACGAAGCCCGATAGGAAAAACATTTTTAAGAAGTACTACAACTATTTTGAGCTCCCCTGTACAGCCCTTCATTTTTGACATGACCTTTCCAGACACCCTGTATATGTTATCAAATTTATATCAATTCTTGCTTATGGAGAAATATGTTTTCTAAATATTTCTATATCTAACCGACTATTCTAACTGTTCCTAACAAAAGAACTACCTGCTTTATAATAATTCAATCTTATAGTACTGTAGTGTGATAGCCTTCACAGTGACAATAGTTATTTGAAAATACTCGTATATATAAAGGTGTTTTATGGTTAGTTGAAATGTAAAGTTATGCGAATTTGCAAAGGAACCTTCAGTAATAGGCGGTTTAGATATTTCACAAAATACAGTCAGTATATTTCAAATAGTGCAAACATTAGATCAGTAGTTACAAAAATATCGAAATAAGATGCAAAAACTTCCTGTTTTGACGGGAACATTTTTCTCTTCTATTATCTAACGATTAATAACAGTATTTGCCGATTCAAGTAGCGTTCAAGACTGCAGGAATTTGATATTGAAACGCAGGTATGCAGTATCAGGAAATAATATTTACACATCGAGAGGTTAGCCGTGCACCCTGCGGTACACCCTATCGCCTGTGATAACAGTACGTTTTTACGACGTAACAGTATCAGCCGTCAGCAAAAACTCACCTGTATTAAGGCAGGAGAAGCGCCATAAAAAATAAGAAATCCACAAGCACAGTTATTCGCACAACGTTCCTGTCCGCACAGCTGAAGCACCGTATACCATACACACCTAAAATTCCAACAATTTAAAACCAACTTTTGTCACTCCGGCCACCTTTCCCACTAAATTTCAAGCGAGCAAGTTGAAAGGCGAAAAGGGCCTGCCGCAGGGTCGCCGTCTGGGCCTTGGCGGTGCGAAAATCTGAGAAACTTTTGCGGAAATTCGATTGGAATCCTAAAACTACTTAGAGTTCAAACGTGACGTAGGCACTTAGTTGGCTGCACGGCGACGTTCTCAGGTAACTATACTTCTTTCTTTCACAGGTAAGTGACGGCTGCGCGAAGGCTGAGGGAGGGGGGGACCGCAAGAAGTCAGGTAGGCGAGGTGGGATTATGGCGAAGTTAACAGGTGGTTGTATGGCGGAAGGGACGGTTCCCAGAAACGTTAAAAGTAAATATGTGCAAGTAATGGAGATACCAGACGGCAGATAACAGTGTGATAGCTTCACAGACGCGCTACAAAAGAACCTGAAAAGAAATGTCTTATAGTAGCAACATAAAATTGCTTTTCTTTGTGGTTTTTCAAGGAAATTATAGATTATACAGCGGATTATAGAGGGCGCTAGTTACGCTACATTCGTATTAAAATTTAGGATCTAATTTTTTTGAGGTTAGGTTTTTTAGCATTCGGGGTCCTATTTCTAATGTACAATTTTATTTTCTAAAAATAATGTACTCTTGTTAGAACTTCCTAATGTGGACGGTTCTCGAGAAAAAAGGCTTTTAATTGAACTCTTACAATATTATGGTGTAGAAAATAAGTAACTTTTCTCAAAGTAGGCTTACCTATGTCAAAACTTATTGATGGATGTCTCATAAACAACGCATACATTCTCAGTAATATTTTAAACTATAATTAACCTTATATCAAAATTTTAGTGACTGTAATTAGTCATTACTAACTACAGTCACTAACAATCACTAAAATTTTGATATAAGGTTAATTAGAGTTTAAAATATTACTAAGAATGTATGCGTTGTTTATGATCCATCAATAAGTTTTGACATAAGCCTACTTTGAGAAAAATCACTTATTTTCTACACCGTAATATTGTAAGAGTTCAACTAAAAGCCTTTTTCTCGAGAACCGTCCACATTAGGAAGTTCTAACAAGAGTTTAGAAAATAAAATTGTACATTAGAAATTGGAGCCCGAATGGTAAAAAACCTACCCTCCTAAAAATTTGAACCAAAAATGTAATAGCAATGTAGCGTAACTAGCGCCGTCTATGAAATATCCAAAAAATAATTAGACCAGCGTATTTGGCGTCCTTAAAAACCTCGGAATATCAAATTTCATAAAAATATTTCGCACCGTTTGGAAATTTTCGTAAAAATTCTATTTAATAATTTTTTTTTGTCGCCCTGTATCTCGAAAACAAGAGGAGATAGACATATAGTTCATAAGACAAAAAATTCTTATTTTTTGTCGTACTATCACCCCCTGAATTTACGGGAGGTCTTTCTGAAACACCCTGTATATGCATACAAACTGATATTTTATAGAAAACAACTACTCTGCGGACTACATACTCCAACCAGCATGGAATTATACGGGCAATATCTACTAAACAGCTGGAATCATTTATATAGGATGTCCAATTTATAGATATACCGGGTGGCCATCTAAGAATGGCCGCCGGCCATATCTCAGGAACGAATCATTGTACAGTTTTAGGAAAAAAAATACATTGAAGAAAGTGGCCCCAAAAATCGCTGGAAAATGTTTGCTAGTTTCTAAAATGGCCGCTAGGTGGCGCAACAGCCACGACTAAATAGAAAATTGGGATTTTCTCTATATTTTACTGAATTAATTAGTATTGAAAATATATGCAGTGTAATCCATAAACAATGTTGAGCAAATATACAGTAATTAATAATTATCCAAAACAAAGATAAAAAAGATATATGTAAAAATTAGAAATATTTTTAGCACCACAGAAAATGTTCAGAATATCATTGTTAACACTTTTTGTTCTATCTCCAACAATAAAGTGGTGGGGAGTCTTCAAAGCAATTTTTTTTTAAATGCTGATTACTCCAATTAGCCCCAATGGAATTTAACAAATTTGGCCTCGTTGCAACGAACTTTCTTTAATCTATCGACTGCATTTTAAGCTATTTTTATTTAAAGATTACCCTCGCCGCTAGGGGGCGTTATATAACATGCTTACAAATTTCCCAATTTTTCTTAGAAAAATCTAAAGGAATGGCGTGTTTGTTTTTACACGATGAAATAGAGCATTGAAGGTCTAAGATATCAGTGAAAACCGCAACTCGATATCTTTCTTCTAACGGTAGATATTAGCACACAAAGTTTAAATTATGAATAATTATTACATTTGACTACGAAATTGACAAAGTTGCCTTTGAAAACAAATAAGCTGGGACAATGAGACAATGCAGAAATATCAAAAAATTTTCATATTGTCATTGTTTGTTATTGTATTTATTAAGGAAGCTCCTTGCAACGAGACTAAATTTATTAAATTCTAGTAGGGGTAATTGGAGTAATCGGCATTTAAAAAAATTGTTTTGAAGTCTCCCCACCACTTTATCGTTGGAGATAGAACAAAAAGTGTTAACAATGATATTCTGATATTTCTAATTTTTACATACATCTTTTTTATCTTTATTGTTTTGGATGATTATTAATTACTGTATATTTGCTATACAGTGTCCTATTTTAATTTATCACACCGTATAATTTTGCAGGATGACCTCCAATTGAAAAACTCCCAGAACAAAAGTTGTGAGGTTGTAAGGGGGCTTACAACAATGATCTTAGTTTTGACCCAGAGTTGAAACTTGATTCTTAGGATCCCTCTGAAGGGCATATCAGCTTTCTAAGTAAAATGTTTATATTTCATGGCAAAGGTTGATTAATTTTTATGGCAAATTCCGTACAAATTACCATGACCATGATTGTTGGTCTAAATGTGACACTGACCTTGAGCTTGCGGTTAAATGTTTGGGTCATTTAAGGGTTAACTTTGGATTTGGTTTTTCTAGGGGCAAGTATACATTTTTAAACGTGATAATTTTTGCCTTTCCCATCTTTGAATAGAAAAACCAAATCCAAAGTTAACCCTTAAATAACCCTAAATTTAACCCCAGAGCTCAAGGTCAGAGCCATAATTAGACAAAAAATCATGATCATGGTAATTTGTACGAAATTTTGCACAAACATTAATCAACATTTGCCATAAAATGTAAACATTTCAGTCTGAAAACTGATTTGACCTTCAGAGAGCCCCTAGGGGTCAATCTGACCCAGGATAAAGTATACATTTTTAAACGTAAAATTCCCTTCTCTTCGATTTAATAGAAGTTGATCTCCAAATGACCGCTAATCTTGACCTATGAGTCAAAACTAAGGTCATTGTCGTACGCCCCCTTAAAACCTTACAACTTTTGTTCTGGAAGTTTTTAAAGTGGAGGTCATCCTGCAGAGTTAATCGGGGTGATCGATTAAAATGGGACACCCTATATATTGCTTGTATAATATGTTAGTAGTAGTAAAAATATGGTAATATAAGAGAAAAAATTCTAAGAAAGATAGTGTTTTTTTCCTGTGGGCCATAAACGGCGAAGTTAAGTAAAAAAAAAACGGTTTTTACTAATAAAAAAAACTGAACTCCAATGGAAAAAAATTAAATGAGAAAGTTGTAGCTATTAAAAAANAGGCTTTTAATTGAACTCTTACAATATTACGGTGTAGAAAATAAGTAACTTTTCTCAAAGTAGGCTTACCTATGTCAAAACTTATTGATGGATGTCTCATAAACAACGCATACATTCTCAGTAATATTTTAAACTATAATTAACCTTATATCAAAATTTTAGTGACTGTAATTAGTCATTACTAACTACAGTCACTAACAATCACCAAAATTTTGATATAAGGTTAATTAGAGTTTAAAATATTACTAAAAATGTATGCGTTTTTTATGAGACATCCATCAATAAGTTTTGACATAAGCCTACTTTGAGAAATATCACTTATTTTCTACACCGTAATATTGTAAGAGTTCAATTAAAAGCCTTTTTCTCGAGAACCACCCACATTAGGAAGTTCTAACAAGAGTTTAGAAAATAAAATTGTACATTAGAAATTGGAGCCCGAATGGTAAAAAATGTAACCTCCTAAAAATTTGAACCAAAAATGTAATAGCAATGTAGCGTAACTAGCGCCCTCTATGAAATATCCAAAAAATAATTAGAACAGCGTATTTGGCGTCCTTAAAAACCTCGGAATATCAGATTTCATAAAAATATTTCGCACCGTTTGGAAATTTTCGTAAAAATTCTATTTAATAAATTTTTTTTGTCGCCCTGTATCTCGAAAACAAGAGGAGATAGACATATAGTTCATAAGACAAAAAATTCTTATTTTTTGTCGTACTATCACCCCCTGAATTTACGGGAGGTCTTTCTGAAACACCCTGTATATGCATACAAACTGATATATTATAGAAAACAACTACTCTGCGGACTACATACTCCAACCAGCATGGAATTATACGGGCAATACTTATACTAAACAGCTGGAATCATTTATATAGGATGTCCAATTTATAGATATACCGGGTGGCCATCTAAGAATGGCCGCCGGCCATATCTCAGGAACGAATCATTGTACAGCTTTAGGAAAAAAATTACATTGAGGAAAGTGGCCCTGCAAAATCGCTGGAAAATGTTTGCTAGTTTCTAAAATGGCCGCTAGGTGGCCCAACAGCCACGACTTAATAGAAAATTGGGATTTTCTCTATATTTTACTGAATTAAGGAGTATTGAAAATATATGCAGTGTAATCCATAAACAATGTTGAGCAAATATACAGTAATTAATAATTATCCAAAACAAAGATAAAAAAGATATATGTAAAAATTAGAAATATTTTTAGCACCACAGAAAATGTTCAGAATATCATTGTTAACACTTTTTGTTCTATCTCCAACAATAAAGTGGTGGGGAGTCTTCAAAGCAATTTTTTTTTAAATGCTGATTACTCCAATTAGCCCCAATGGAATTTAACAAATTTGGCCTCGTTGCAACGAACTTTCTTTAATCTATCGACTGCATTTTAAGCTATTTTTATTTAAAGATTACCCTCGCCGCTAGGGGGCGTTATATAACATGCTTACAAATTTCCCAATTTTTCTTAGAAAAATCTAAAGGAATGGCGTGTTTGTTTTTACACGATGAAATAGAGCATTGAAGGTCTAAGATATCAGTGAAAACC